ACCCCTTGTGTGCTTGAACTTACTAACAAGTCACTTTTAAAACTCTGTGCCCCATCACAGTTGTCCTTTCTTGTGCATATCTGATGTTGCCCCATAACCGAGGTGACTTGGATATGACGCTTGACAGTGCAGTCACATTCCTGCTGGGACTGCCAGGGACAGGGGGACAGCCAGGAAGAGCGAACAGGATGGATAACGTTCTAGGAGGCGTACAGACACAGAGGACCTCGTGTAACTAAAGCGGGTGACCCCCCCACCCCCATTCTGGCAGTGGTGCGGGGCTGAGAAAGGGCTGCGCGGGCAAGGCGCTTCTTTGCCTTTGCTGGAGCAGTCATTCCCAATGTACGCAGCACAGCAGTAGGCCCGGGGAACCTCTGGGTGTGTTAGATAACCGTCTGCACAACCTTTGCTGTGCAAAGACCCCAACTGGTGGGGCTTGGTGAACAGTTTCCAAGCCTTCTGTTTTGCTCCCACTCCATCTTTTTCCTTTCTTTTTTAATTTGGGAAATTTTTGAAGATAAAAATGTAGCATATGGTATAAAAATACCTTTTACTCACTCTCCCAAATGAACAAATACAGCATTTTGGTGTGTTTGCTTCAGCTCTTTTACAGGTACGCCATTTAATAGAAATAAGTCATCATCAACGTAGAAATTTTTTAACCTTCCTTCATTCCCCTCCTCTCAACCTCGTATTACACATTTACTATATAAATGCCAGTCTGTTTTTACACTTGAACCTCCACTCTGTATAGCCATATACAATACATAAGATAGGTTTGTGTTTCAGAATTCATATAGATGCTGTCATCCTGTATATATGAGCCTTCAGTTTGCCTCTTCCACTCAACCTTGCATTTTGAGGTCTAGCCCTGTGCATCTTAGTTTAATTGCTGTATTGTTTTCCATCATAGGACTGTGCCACATTTTATTTCTCCATCTCTCTGTAGATAGACACATCAGTTGCTTCCAATTTTGGGTCATTACAAACAGCATTGATTTGAACACTCAGGTGCACGTCCACCTCCGGATGCACAAATGTAAGAGTTTCCCTGCAAACTGTGTGTCAAGACGCCCACCAGCAGTGGGCGAGGGCTCCTGAACCCGGTATCCTCCCAGCCACTTGATTTGGCAGATGTTCTGCATTTCTTACCAAAGAAATGATCTCTCTATTGAAAAAAAAATGTAAAACAAGGGGGAAAAAATAAGGAGCTGGCACCAAAGTGTCATTAGCCTGCCCATGAAACGGAATGCTTTGTAAATCCCAGGACAGCGTCTTCCTTCCCTGGGGCTCTTAGAGATTCTGGCTTCCTGAGCCTCTTCTCTTTTTCTCCTGGGACTTTTCAGCCTCTAACACAACAGCTTTGCATGTCGGCTTTAGCCAAGTGAAGGGAGACTCCCTCCAGCAATTTCACCAAGTCTTGACTTTCTTACTCCGGGTCATTTGAAAACATCTGTGCTTCATCTCCCGTCTGCTGTCAGCGCTTGGTCCAAGTCTCATTACCCGCCTCTCACCTGGGTGGCTGCCCCTCAACCGCACTGGCCTCCTGGCTTCCATTTCCCCCCGTTTCAAGACTTCCATTCATTTCGTGCAATCATTTATCAGTCCATTTACTCATCCATGGTTGACTGAAGCCCTGCGCTGTGCATCCCTGCGACTACGGTTCTGGCCCCCATTACCTGTGGGGCCGAATCCAAATGCCTCGGCCTGGCCTTCAGGGCGTTTCACCGCCCCAACTCCAGCTCCTTCCCCTGGCATCACCTCCACCTTTTGCACCCCAGGCAGCCAGTCTGCTCGCCCACAGTTCTCCAGACACTCCTGACAGTGTTCTCGTGCTCTCTGCTAAGATTCCCGGTCTCCACTTGTTAAACACTTTGTGGTGGCTGGAGGCTCAGCTCAGTTCCCATCTGAGGAGCTTTCCCGGGGTTCCAAGGCAGAACCGATCTTTTCCCTTCTCTGCTCCCACAGAGCTTTGCACATCGTTACCCATCTTGCCAGCTACTGTGTAAACTCTTCCAGAGCATGACCCATCCTCGTTCACCTCTGTAGCTCCAGGGCTGAGGGTTGTGTCTGGCATACAGAAGTTGCTTAATTAAAGCTTTTGATGACTATCTCCCACCCCCTTCCCTGCTGCACTTCCCAGTTCAGTGTAGGCACCACTACATCCAACTGATTGTTATTTGTTAAGGGATTTGTCTGTTGAGCAAGTTAGTACTGGAGACATGATTGAAGGTTTGTTTAATCTTTAAAAAATTAATTAGTTCTTAAAGAGTTTAACATAGTGTGTGCCAATGACAATTCTCTATTTTTGATCAGACTATCTTATCTAAAGCAAGCACTCTACTTAGAAACTTTTTGGAGTTTACTTTTATTTTTAAAAGTAATTCAGCTGAATGTTATCAAATGTTGAGGTCTGTAATTCAGATTTTGCTAATTAAGATCAAGCTTTTCCTAGTCCATATAATTAGAGAAGAATCCTCGCTGGCTGTCTGGCCAATCTCAGTGAGGCACCGTAAATGACCGGGCTGCATTTTATAAGCTCATTGGTGCCAGAATGACCAGTTGCATCGGAATCTCCCAGAATGTGGGTTAAATACAGATTCCCAGGCCTCACCCTAGCTCTAATGACACTAAGAACATGATGGGGCCTGGAAATCAGTATTTTAACAAGTGATCCAAAAAGACAGTGAGACGGAGAACCGTAGATTCGGATCTGTGCTGTCCAGTAGTCACATGTGGCTACTGAGCACCTGAAATGTAGTCAGTCCCAAGCGAGGTGTGCTGCACGTGTGAAATGTACCCTGACCGTCAGGCTTGGCACCCTCAGAAAGGAAATACCTCATTAATATGTTAAATACTGGAGACATGTTTAAACCGCACTGTTTGGGATAGACTGAGTTAAATTATTAATTTCACTTGTTTCTTCTTAATCTTTTAACATGGCTGTTAGAACACGTTAGATTACAAGTGTGGCTTACCTCGCAGCGCTGGTCTGGGTGGACCCACTGAGAACACAGTGCTCGTCTCCTGGTACATTTCCGACGGTTGGTATTCATTGTCTGTTGGATGAATGAGGCTGATCACTAACACATGGCTTCCTCTTACCTACTGTGGGACCTCAGACAGGCTGCTTCGCTTCCCTGGCCTCAGTTTTCTCATCTGTGAAAGAAGCAGAGTAACTGAAGTGCTACAATCTGCTTCCAGTTAGATCTTGTCAGTCATCTGGAGACAGGATCTCAGTCCTCCACTTGCAGGGACTGTGGAGCATAGCGCAGTGAGGGCAGGAGGTGATGGTGTCCCCAGCTCACTGAGTGGGGAGGTCGGCAGCCTCTCTGGGAACCCTCTGTAACTTCATCTTCCGTTGCAGTCCTCCCCAGATCTCCTCGGGGCTTCAGTTAGAACCAGGAACAGTCCTGCCGCAGAGCCCATCTTTCTCACAGCTGTCCGCACATAACTTCTGGAATTTATTATTCACTTTTCTCCCATCACACATAATTTATGACTCAACTCTAGAAATATCAGATTAAATATCAATGGGTTTTTTTTTCCCTCCTACATTTGCTTTGAAAATTATGTATTCATGAGGCAGTATGGTAGTCATAAGGGCAGTTTCCCAAGTCAGATCATCTGGGTTCAAATCCTGCCCCCTACATCTTTCTGGTTGTGTAACTCTTGGCAGAGTACCTCCATTTCCTCATCTAAAATGGGGATAATGCTAATAATGAACTCGTAAGATGGAGAGGGTTACATGAAAATAGGATATGCAAAGTAATTAGCATGGTAATACATTATTATACATAACTGATTATATATCATAATCCATACATTTATGATTATGCTACTGATTGCATTCTCAGAACCTTTATTCCATGCCCACTCTATGCCAGACATTACTGGGATAGTACCCAGTATCCTAGAGAAGGAAAGTTTTCCCCCATTGTGGCAGCTTTTAGGGAAAATAGCAGAGAGAAAAGATGAAGGGTCTAAGCAGCCGTAGATTCAGGAAGGAGAGGCCGTACAAGCTGGCCAGGCACAATATACACACCACCGACAATAATAACACTACTGAACACCTGCCACAGACCAGTCCTGTTACACTTTCGCTACATGCACAGTCTCATTTCATCTTTATAACTGCTTCCTTCGACACAGATGGAGAATCTGAGTCTCAAAGGCTGAGTCCAAGGTTGACCCACTACTGAGTGGCCGAGCTGAATCCAAACTCGTCCCTTCTGTCCACAAGGCCTCTGCTGCTTCTACCACCTCCAGTTCTCTCTGTTAACGTGCTGGGATCATTCCTTTCGATGTGTTTGAGAATCTTCTGTTCCTATAAGACGACATTTTCTTCCCCCACATTACTGAAGACCAGGCAAAAACAAATCACTGAGGTTAAAGCCAGAAGACCCCCTCTTTCTGAGAATTGCACCTCTCGGGCATGCTGCCTGGGTGGGCTGTCCATGTCGCATGCAGTGTGTAGGGGACGGTTAGGGCTGGGGTGGTTGGCTGGGCTGCCTCGGTGTGTGGAGCTCCCTGTCACACAGGAGTCTAGCAGAGGCTAAAGGTGCAGAGGTCAGGAATGTTCAGCACTGAGATCGGCAAGGTCCCTCCAGGTGAGACTTTGAGATGGGAAGTCAAGATGGGGAGGGAACTAGACAGGAAGCTGGGACCTTGATCACCCCCTGGCCGTTCAGCACATTCCGTCCCAGTGGGACTGGGCAGGGAAGGAGGAACCTGGTGCCCACTTGGGGCTGGAACGTGGCGGGGGCTGAACCCTGGCCACAGGCTGTCCTACATCCCCCTCCCCAGTCATGGCCACACTGTTTCTCCTGGGGTTGGGGTCAGGGTAGACTCAGCATGCACTCACTCCTGGGAGCCAGGCTGGGCCAGGGCAGCCAGGACTCACAGGTGCACATGCCTGCCAAGGTCACCTTGGATTCTAAAAGTCCATCTTCTACTCATTTAACAAACAGGCTGAGAATTCTTCTCTCTTCCATTTTCAGAGATCCCTGGAGAGAGTTTCTCTACCTTGGGTAAGTCATGATAGCGTCTCATTCACCTTGCCCTCTTACAGGCTGTCTATGACCCACTTCAAAGACACCCTCAGGCCAACACATCCTAGGCGCTCAGTAAATAATAGCTGCTAACAGTTGCTGAGTGCTTACTCTGTGACAGACACTGTTCTAGGTCATGCACTGTGCAGCTTCATTGAATCCACCCAGCGATTCTGTGAGAGTCCACAATAGCCCTAATTTATAGATGTGGAACCTGAGGCACAGAGAGGTTGAATCCTTTGCCCAAAATTGCACAGCTCGCCAGGTCAGAACCCCAGATGGCCCTGAACCTGTGTTCTGAATATAAACACAAAGATACATTGGAGGACGGGGCCAGGGGGACTCCTCAGGGTCCACCAGGAAGCTTCAGGAAAGGCTCAGACAGTCATGCGTCCCAGGAGGTTGAATGACCTCCAGCCCGCTGCGGCCGATCATCTCTCTCCCCTGCTCCCTCAGCTCCTTCCCAGATTCCGTCCTGCCTCATCAGTGTCTTAAAGCCCACTGGAAACACTTGCTCATCCCCTGCTATTCGTCTTAGCTGGTGTTGGCTCAGATGGTGCAGTTTGGACATGTCTCCAAGGGCGGACAGCAGGGCGGCAAGAGTCAATAATGGATTCCAGCAGGTTGGACACCGTTCAGATCTCATGCGAGGCTGGTGTCCGCGTCCTCCTCGAGTACTAGCAGCTGCTGGGCGTGGCTTCCAGGGAGGGGCTTGGGTCCCTGGGTGTGAGGGGCTGGGGGGCTCAGCAGGTGGGTGGTCACGGCTGACCTCCTGGCCTCTCAGGCTCCCCAGCATCTTCCCTTGTCATCGTGCCCTCCCAGGCCTGCTGGTTCTTGGAAACTCACACGGGCATGACTGTCTTTTTGCTCCCCGCTGCATCTGCTGCAATAGTGTCAGCCCATAGTAGGTGCACAATAGGATATTTGTTGGTGTTTGTTGAATGAGCATTGGTAGTTCCTGTCTGTAGTCTTGCTTGGCTGACACACGGGTCCCCTGGGCTCCAGACTTGCCTTCCTGTCTGCTTCTTGGATGTCTTCATTGGACGCTGCCAACTTAACATGCCAGAGAGTGAGGCGAGCACTCCGCTCATCTCTCCCACCTCAGCAGATGGCAGCCCCTCCTTCCAGCAGCTCAGAGCAGAATCCTCAGAGCCCACGTGGACACGCTCTTTTTCCATGCCTCATGTTCAGCCCATGCGCGTTTCCTCTCAGCTCTGCCTTCAAAACAGACCAAGAACGCGACGGCTTCTCCCCACCCCCACTGCTGCCTCTTCCCTGCAGTCTCGCCTGGATTATCCCAGCTTCCACCCCTTTTCCCAGCAAAGAACATTCCAAGGCTAAGCCAGAGCTGTTCTAGAACATAGACTGTTTCATGTCGGTCCTGCACTCACGCCTCCACCTCACAGTGAAGGCCCGGTCCTCCCCGTGGCCTGTGAGGCCTGGTGCTCACCAGCCCTTCCAGGCTGACTGCTTCCTCCAACACACTGGGCACACACCAGACGCACGCCAGGCACACGCCCGGCCTGGCTTTTGTCTTGCTTTCCCAGATACACTTGTGGTTAGCTTCCTCACTTCCCTTTGGGCCTCTGCTTAGTAATCACTTTTGATGCTTTGAGGATTAGTGAGTTAACATGTGAAAAGCATTTAAAACTGTGTGGTAGCTTTTGCTGCATTCTCATTCGGGACTCTTGGGGCCTAATTCATAGCAGACGGTCAGGTTGGCCAATGGGCCACGTGTCCAGGGCCTGGCTTGATGCCTGGCATCAAATGGGAACTCCAGCATCTGTTGAACTGAAAATGTAGAGTGAGGCCGTGCACCCCGCCTCTGCCCCCCGCCTAGTATAGGCCATGAGAACTTAACAGTTTGAGAAAATGTTGGGAGCCCATCATCTCTGTGTCTTGTGGAGGCAGAGTTTCCTGCCTGCGCCCACTGGCCCACCAGCCTGGGGAACTACTCCTGCTTGGATCACTTTCCTCAGGCTTAACCCTTCCTAGCTCCAAGCTCAGGGACATTGAGGAAAGCCAGAGATGAGGCCTTCTGGCAGGAATCGGACTCCTGACCAGGCTGACGGGTGGCTGAGGGTGGGGAGAGGGAGCAGGTGACAAGGTGGAGGCAGCCTCCCCTGCAGAGATGACCCCTTGTGCTGGGCTCTGCCACCCTCACCTTTGGCTCCCAGGTTCTGCCCACGCCTTCTGGAAATGGTCAGAGAAGGAGGTTGGGACCATGGGCCTCGGCTGTCACAGCTTCTGGCTTTTTTCTCAACCGCCCCGGGGAAGCTTTTGCCCCAAAGTCTGAAGATGAAGGTTGTGGCCCGAGTCTCTTGGTCTCTTTCTAGGACAGGAGAGCCTTGTTAATCTGCTCTGTTTGGAGTAGCTCATAATTTGAAGCAGCTGCTGTCCCCAAGCAAAACCACTCTGTGGGTGTCCCAGCCTTTCAGAGGTCTCCCCTGGTTGATTCGACCTTGGCTGTTAGACCCTGAGACTCAGAGGGAAATGGAAGGTGGTCGTTTCTGCCTCCCTGGGCCCCCTTAGCCTCTAGGACCGTCCCCAGCCGCACGCAGAGCTGCGCACCCAGCTTTAACCTCAGGGCACTTGATGGGGGTTAGTCAGTGCCTGGGTTTCTGCCTGTTTATGCCCCAGTATGTTGAAAAACAAAAAGCATGGAAGGTACTCGTGGATAAAACTGCTCCGTGAAACTTCCCTCCTCCTCAGCAGGGATGACCCAGATGTTTGTCAGAGAGGCATCTCGGCTGCTGATTAACCACACACCCTTGGTAGACAAAATAGAGCAGTGCTCTGTCCCTGCTAAGCTCGCTTTGGAAGGATCCTGGTTTGGGTCATCTGGTTTATGCAATGTTGTTATTTTGTGAATGGGAACATCATGGCCTGGTAGGTCTGGAGTCAGGGAGACCCAGGTTTCAGCTCCAAATCCATCGCTTACTCACTGCATTTATTTCACCCCTCTGGGCCTTCATTTTATCATCTCAGATTCTGGAGTGATGATACACACCTTGCAAAATGTCTGTGAGTACGAGGGACCATGAATGTACAGAGCCCAGCACATAGGTGCTCAGTAAATGGGAGCTGTTATTCATTGACCCAGGCAACTGCTGTTTATTGAGTGTCAGCTGTGTACTTGATGGGGAATAACAGTGGCAAAAATCCCTGCCTCTGTGGAGTTAACATTCTAGATGGGGAGCCAGACAATAACCAGATAAACAAGTCAAATAGGTAAGTCAGGAGGGAAGGTTGCAGTTTAAACAGTGTGGACAGGGAAGGCTTGCTGAATAGGCGGCATTTCAGCAAGAACCTAAGGCTGAGAGGGAGCCACGCAGACACCCCTGGAGAAGCAATGCCGGCCTCGAAGGGGAGGCTCACCTGCCGTCTCTGCTGCTTTTGACATGAGCTGTCCAAAACATGGTCTCTGAGCCCCATTGCCTGGCCTCTGCCCCTTCATTTCTGAGCCTTATTGACCCATTGAATCACCCTCTGCAAGATCAACTGTGTCTTTAGGGAGTTTGTCTTAATAATGGAATTAATCAGACTGAATGTTTTTTGAAATGTTCCAGGGAAAGAAAGAATATGTGCCACTGTAGGGCTTCCAGATTTGAATGTGGAGTACTTGGGACAATGTGTAACTGAAAAGGGAGAGGAGAGCGGGGCTGGGGAGGGAGGGACAGAGTCACTGCCTATGTCTGAACTGAGTTCAGTTTCTAACCTCTGACGATGGAGACTGGAGACAAAATATAGGACAGTCCTTCTCCCCTGCCTCTTGCGATGCCAGCTCCTTCTCATCATTCAAGTCTCAGTGCCAATGTCACCTCCTCCGGGAAGTCCTCCCTGACCAGCCCCACAGAATTACCTTCATAAAGCTTGTCACCACCTGAAACTATCAAGTGTTTTTAGGTTTGTGGTTTATTATCTCCTTTAGAATGAAAATGCCAGGAGGGCAAAAAACTTGTTTCCCAAGAACCTATGCAGGTAGTTGGCATATAGTAACCGCTCTATGTTATTTGGTAAATGGGTGAATGAAATCACTACACAGAGCTAGGGGAGGAGTTACTATAGACCAGTGTTTTCAGACTGCAGGTTATGTCCCATTAGTGGGTTGTGACATCACTTTAGCTGACATTTTAAAAAATGAAATAGAGAAAAATTTAAAATACCAGCACATTACATGTGGTAAGGGTAAGTTTTGTTTTAAGAAACATATATACATACATACATGCTATCTATACGGAATGACATACTTTATTTCTCACTGTGGAGTAGTCAGAAGAGTTTGAAACTCAACAGTGAATTCTAAGTTTTCTCAGGCTTGATCTTCAAAAGGAACATTCTTCTCTCAGAGACTGTAAGCCTAGTCACATAAAGTTTACATTCTGGGGCCCCAAAGTAAAACTTTAAGAAAAGATTCCTTTGTTTCCTATTAACTGAAAAAAATGAATAATTTTCTACTGTAGAGGGGACCCAATCTCCTAAGTCTCTCCCAACACACATGGGGTTAAATTTACACACTCACACACACATATACACAATCACAGATACATAGCCACCAACACACAAGCACACAGACACATGCTCACACACGTGCACACAGACATGAACACACAGTAATAGTCACAAATACACATCTATACGTACAAACACACGTACACACAGGCACATCCACGGATACAGACAAACATTCATGTATGCACAGACACAGAAACAACACAGACACAGTTACAGACATGCACATGCACACACAATCACACTTAGATTCACACAAGAACATCCCTGTTCCGTGGAGACTCCCAGGCCATTTTCAGATGGGCACCCAGGCAGGGGCGCCTGCAAAGCCCAGCCTGTCCCTGACCAGTGTCCGTGGGTGGCTGGACTGGGCGAGTCCCTAGGCTTTGAAGGTGGGCTGACTTGTCTTCCAACTTCTGCTTACTGGCTGGGCAACTTCGGTCAGGCTCCTCCATCTCACGGAGCCT